AAAAATTACAATTATGAAGTAGCAACAAAAATAATTTTATGGTTGGGGGTCACCACAACGTGAGGAACTGTAGTAAGGGGTCGCGGCATTAAAAAGGTTGAGAACCACTGGTCTAGATGGGGCCTGCCTTGAACTTCATTATATGGCAGTGTAGACTCATATAATCCATTCTGAAATTTCATTATATAGCAATGTGGGGGGGGGGGGCTAAGACATGGAAGACCACGATTGAAATCCTGAAAACCCTCCCAGCGACCTTGGATGAGTCACACTTTCTCAGGGCCCTTCTACACAGCCCTAAAACTCAGGCTAAAAAAAGGGTGTACCTAGGGAATACAGATGATGTTTCAGGCTAATCCGTTTCAAACTAGAGTAAACCTTTGAATGCTATTTTCCTGCTTCTTGGCAGGGGGTTGGACTGGATAGCCCACAAGGTCTCTTCCAACTCTATGATTCTATGATTCTATGAATTTATTCAGTTTAATCCAAATTTTAAAAACACCTGTAAAAATCTGAACCTTAAGGTCCTAAAAGCCTGGAGGAGCGAGATGGCACCCGCCCAGCCCCCTATTCCCTCCCCCAAAACTTACCCAAGGGGCCTGGAGAGCTCTTTAACGTTTTTGATTTATTATTGTTGCTTTGAGAGTTTTGCCAACTTTTTGTAAATTAGTTGGATGTCCCACACTTGATCTTCTAGAGTTGTACTTCCTCAAAACTTAAATAAGATCATCTTGCAAATGGGAAATAGCGAATGTTCTTTTGAGAACAGGAACTCTTTAAGCTTGTGCTGTGACACATGTAATTACACTAAATAAGCAAAATGTTTGTTATCACCAATTAACTGAATTTCATAGTCATGTTATCTATGTGTGTCAAAACCTGTCAGTCTTTCCTTGTAGCATACAGTGAAAGCTTCTGGTCTCTTGTGTGCTATTAGTGAATTGGAGTTTTTAAAACAGAAAAAAAATGCTCTCATGTCACTGTCGGGATGGTTTTATCACTGAAATGGACGAACTCAGTTGACACAATGGATGGTTTCTAAAATGCAATGACATATCACCTATATTTACTGGTTAAATACAAAATTGTTGTCTTTTTTGTGGAGCATTTCTGAAGAAATGTTTTTTTTCCCCCAAAAAAATCTCTGAAACTAGTTATAACCACAAAAATATTTTTGTAAGCCAAGCCTTTATGTACTGTATCAATATACCTACAAAGTTACAATCATAGAACTCATTGGTTGTTGGTTGATGTTTTGCTTTTATATTTTGTTATAATGTTGTTGTTTTATTTTGTCTTATGTTGCCATTATATATTTTAATGTGCTATTTATTTTATTATTCTATTCAGATTTGTCCCCATGTAGGCCACCCCGAATCCCTTTGGGGAGATGGAGGCAGGGTATAAAATAAAGATTATTATTATTATTATTATTATTATTATTATTATTATTATATGCTAATTTACTTTTTGAACCACATTCACTTCAGTCAGAGGTGTCATTGTTATCAGTAATGGGCTTTTTGTCTTCACATAGTTTTGCATGCACATGCTATAAGCACACCCTGTTGTTTTTGTTGCTACTGTGTGTTTTTATAGTTTTTGATTTTGTCAGATTATTTGGGTTTTACCTACAATATTGTGATATGGGCTGGTATGGGAGGAGATCCATGAGGTGACATCATGAATTCCCCACTGGGTGACACAAACTCTAGTGCTGTCACCCGGTGGTGTTAACTCTCTCAAGAAGCCATGAGAACCAGACTGAGAGGGTCCAACTTTGGCCATTTCATGAGAAGACATGACTCACTAGAAAAAAACCCAATAATGCTTGGTAATATTGGAAATGGCAGGAAAAGAAGAAGACCGCATTCCAGATGGGTAGACTCAAGGTGCATCTACACTGTAGGATTAATGCAGTTTGGCATTACCTTGACTGACATGGCTCAATGTTATAAAACCTTGGGGTTTATAGTTTGGGGAGGCACCAGCACGCTCTGGGTGATAAAGGTAAAGAACTTGTAGAACTACAACTTCCATGATCCCATAGCATTAAACCATGGCTGTTAAATTGGTGTCAATGACTATTAAGTCTACAGATTAGATCCACCTTCAATCAAGGAAGACTGAAACCCATGATAGGTTGTGGATTAACCTGAGGATTATCCAAATGATGCCTCAGGTTAATCCAAATTAATAAAGCACCTGGAAAGATCATGACTTTATTGAAGGTCCAGATATTTCAATACATTGGGCCAGGCATGTAGCCGGGGGGGGGGGGGGNAGATGACATGTGCAGAACACTGCTTACAGAAGTATTTAAAAATGACCCAGAGGATATCTATGAGGTTTCAAGAGTACCACATTCAGCAGAATGAAGCGCTTGCGGCCAAAGCAGGACTTCTTAGTCAGCCTCGCTAGAAGGCCAAGGCTTGTCTACATGAAGATGTTGCCAGCAGTGATTGCATTGCACCAAGGGATGTGCCGGTCTCCACTGCGCTCGTGACCGCATCCATCAACCCAGAACAGAGCCGCTCAGAGGCCCACAGACCGCAGAAGGCATCAGCTGCGGAACTGACGGGGTGTGTTCAGAGGTCACTTATTTCCAGTGCAGTGGGGTAACGTTGATGCTGCTGCCTTTTCTGGAGGCCTACAGACTGGCTCAGCCAGTCCCTAGGTTAGAGATGGGAGAAAGCGAACACTTTATTTTCTGTTGTTGTTTCTCATGCAGCGACTGTTTGTTTTTAATACACAAATGGGTTATTGAAAAATCATATCCCAGAGTGTCTGAAACAAGCTTTATTTTTTATTAATCAAAGAAAATAAATGAAAATTACTGTCTTTATGTGGAAGTCTTTTTGAATGAAGGATTGTAGACTGTCATAAGGTCCGGCCTTAAGAGCAGCCCTTTGAGTGGGGATGTATTCTCTCACTTCTAATCCTGTTCGTTCAGAGCCGTCTCAAGTCGCTGGTGGGGAGAGAAAGAAAGTATTGACAGCTGAAGGGTACAAATGCATTCAACCAGGGGTCCTCAAACTAAGGCCCGGGGGCCGGATGCGGCCCTCCAAGGTCATTTACCCAGGCCTCACTCAGGGTCAACCCAAGTCTGAAACGACTTGAAAGCACGCAACAACAACAATCCTGTCACATCAGCCAAAAGCAGGCCCATACTTCCCATTGAAATACTAGTAAGTTTAGTAGATGCAGGCAAAACGTCAGGAGAAATGCCTCTGGAACCTGGCCCTATAGCCCCAAAAAAACCCACAAGAACCTAGTGATTCCAGCCATGAAAGCCTTCGACAATACATAG